TTAAAAATAGATTTTGTTTTATTAATTTTCTGAAACTGTATTTTAACGTTCATATGATTAGTAAGAGAAAGAAAACAGTTACCAAGCTATTTTTCTGGAAACCTACGCAAAGAAAAAATTCTGGTAAAATTAGAGTACTGTATGGTAATAACATTTCTGGTTAAAAGAAAAACCCATTTCTGTTTAAAAAAAACGAAAATATACGGTTATTTAAACCATTCGTTGGTCAATTTTTCCCCTTCATATAGTAACAGTTTGCCGGAAATTCTGGTTTTTCAAAATTATAATTCGTATAGCCACAGATTTAGTAAAAAAATGCTACGTTGAAAAGGAGATTTAACCGAATAAATAGTTTTTATGCCACGCTCTACGGTATGATAAAATTACAAAGTTTTACCACATTTATGAAATTTTATCACTTATTATAAAACCATTTATTGTTAACTTTACCAAAATCATTACCAAAGCTACTGGGTTTTTCAAATGTTCCCATTGAGACCAGAAACACGGCAAAGTTTCGAATATTCTGGCAGTTTTAACCATACCTTTTTTTTTTCGAATGTGGCGTTAACAAAGGAAAGAAAATCGATGTCAAGCCATTTTTTCTCGAAATCTATCATGAAACCCTTTCGCTGTTTTTTCAATGCACTGCAGAGCACGTAGCATGATAACACAGCATAGACTTTTTGCAATATAGAACTAGCACCTGATAATTTTTTTAATTCATTTGTTTATTCCTTTATTTCTTGCATTCCCCATTGAATTTGAATTGTGCTAAAGTGAAACAGAAATAGTCAACGCATACAGAAATTTTTTCTTTACTTTTTCTTAACAGTGCTTTGCGTCAATGAATTAAATTGAGCAAACACGTAAATGGAAGCGGAAGCAACCGTCAAAGATATGCTTCTCACAGAATCAATTATATGAAAATCTGAAAAGTTATTAACACGATAAACTCATCATTTATTTAAACATGTATATTATTATTTATTTACACTTTTCAACACAATGATCAAGGCTGTATTCTAAGTGAATTCAGTTTATTATAAGATTTTTGATATAAGAATTACAAATTTATTATACATTTTAAAATTTCAATAGCGTATTAGTACACAATGCCATTAAAATCTCGTGCACCCTTTCCGCGGTTGAAGGCAGATGTAATTCTTCAACTGGTAATCGTAGAAATATTTAGGAACCTGTTGACCTGTTAATTGAAATATTTATATTCCTTTATTTTAGTTACTTTTATGTGTCATTAAACTAATTAACTCACACTGAATACTATTTATTGAATTTAATTAAAACCTGGCTTCATTTTTAATAATCCTATTTAGGAAAAGACAAAGTTTGGAAAAATAGAAGTATTACTTTTCTTTTGTACTTGAACTAAATTGCTACAACTATGAAAAATGCCTATCAATAATTTAAGCACAAAAATGTAAAATTAATAATAAATTAGTTAAAATATTTTAAAATCAAAGAAATCCAAATTGTATATCAGTAAAAAATAAACTGAAAAAAAATTATGCTTTAAAATAAATAAAGAAATATTTTAAAATTAAACGATATAGGTCAAAATTTTTCTTAAAGCAAGATATAACTTACTTTTTTCAAAGGCTATTACATAATTTGCTTTTTTACCTTCAAAGGAATTTCAATTACTCATAATTTTGAAACGCAACATCGTAAAGGAATACTTTAATGAAGAAATATGTAAGCAACTTTCAGTAAATTTGTAAAAGTAAACTGTGCGCCTCTAGAAATAATTTGTAAAATCTCATGCTTTCAGTTGTAGACACCCTTATTTTAAGAGCTCATCGAAAATTTTAATCACTATCACCTTAATTTCACCAATTCAATCACTAAATACTATCATCTTCATTCTTATGACTGATTGTTTTTGACGTGTTATTAACAGAGCAGGAAATTCAATACTATTACTTGAAAACTGATTGAAAAATTCGAAAACGCTTGAAAACTCTCTAGACACATTCCGTTTGAATGCAAGTTCAATGAGAAAAAAAAGTTTGGTCAAAGCTACCAGAATGTGATAAAATTTACCATGTTTCTGACTCAATGGGAACACCAAAAATCTCGGTAAATTTTACAAAAGTGCCGGACAGGTCACCAAGCGGTTAGCATGCCTGACTACGAAGCCAATGGCTGCTGGTTCGAATCTCGCTCAGGGCATGGATGTTTCTCTCTGTGTGTTGTCCTCTATTGTGTGATTGTGGCCCCCTCTCTGAACGGGTATCTGTGGCAGTTTGGTGTGGGTAATGCTGCTCGCCTCCGTGACTTTTTTTTACTGACTTTTTCCGTGAAGTTTTACCAAAGCGCGTTGCTAATTTAATCGGTTTAAGTTCTTTTGGTAAAATTAACAATAAATTATGGTATTTTTATCATGATACCTTTGAGCATGGCATAAAAATAATTCATTCGGTTAAATTTATTTTTCAGCTTTGTATATTTTACTAAATGTGTGGTAATAAGAACTGTAAATTTGATAACCAGAATCTGCGGTAAACCCTAACGATATGAACGGAAAAATTACCTAATGAATGATTTAAATACCGCATATTTTGGTTTTATTAACCAGAATTATGGGTATTTTTTTTACCAGCAATGTGTTACCATACATTACTGTTGCCAGAATTTTTTTTCATGTGCTTTTCCCGAAAATTTATAAAACTAGCACGCACTTGTCCCTATCCCTCATATTCGTTCTTTAAATTCGTTTTTATGCGTGTTTGTTTTAAATACACTTGTATCACGTCAATACTTCTCAAGTGTAAGAAGAATGTTAAACACTATGAGGTTAGATCAATATCTAAATAGTGTTATAAGTCATTATAACTAGCATGCATCTTACAAACATGTTTTTCAAAAGTAAATGGCGAGCGGATGTTCTTAATTGCGATAAAATTAGTTCAAGATTTCTTTTCTTTCGTGTTTGTTTGATATTCTTTAGTTCATGAAGCGTAACACTGAGGAATAACTAGTTGTACGTTGACCTTCACAAATAAGAAACCTTAATTTTTCTAACCTGGTATAAATGTTTTATTAAGTATATACGATTTTCTAAAATATGTTGACAAAATGTAGGGATCCGATCAAATTAAAAGTTATTATCGAATGCTTAGTTGGAAATAAATTGGTAATTAACTTTTTGCATAGTTGAGTAATATAGTAAAAGTTTTATTTCTAATTCATATTTTATATTATTTTGATTTAATGAATGTCTAACTTTGCGCATATTGCTAACAAATTTGGAATTCATCGATCTATAAAATCTTTGAAATTTGCTATATTATTAATTAGTAAAAACTGACTACTGTTTGCAGAGAAAAAAACTTCCGGTAAAATTACCATACTGAATGGAAATAGCATTTTTGATAACAAAAACCATCATTCTGGTTAATAAAACCGAAATATACCGTATTTAGACCATTCATTTTGTAATTTTTCCGCTCATAGGGCAATGGTGTACAGGAAATTTTGATTTTCAAAATAAGAGTTCTTATTACCACACATTGTTCTTTAATATAATTAAAAATATAATACTGAAAAGTAAATTAATAAATAGTTTTTGTGCCATGGTCTAACGTATCATGATAAAATTACCAAATTTTACCACATTTTGCCAATTTTACCTAGTATAAAACTATAGTTTTATTATACATTACTAAAGTGCTTCGATGTAGATCACCGAGCTGCTAGGTGCTTCCAAAAAGTCAGAAACACGGTAAATTTTACCTTATTTCGGTAGTTTTGA